TTTTTTTTCCTTTTCTTTTTTTTCCTTTTCTTTTTTTTCCTTTTCTTTTTTTTTTTCTTTTTTTTTTTTTTCCTTTTCTTTTTTTTCCTTTTCTTTTTTTTCCTTTTCTTTTTTTTCCTTTTCTTTTTCGTCGTCGTCTTTTTCTTTTTCGTCGTCGTCTTTTTCTTTTTCGTCGTCTTTTTCTTTTTCGTCGTCTTTTTCTTTTTCGTCGTCTTTTTAGTCTTCTTTTTCGTCTTCTTTTTCCTCTTATTATTTTCCCCGACACGGTTTCGAGTGTTCAATGGAGTTCTCAGACTGAACCTTGCGTAGAATCTATGCAGTAGCAAGCAATGCAGACTACTGAGGCAATGTCGGTTTTATTTGGATTTTCTCAATGTCGTTGCTATAGATCCCAACGCCCTAATCTTAACTGGGACGATAATGGTCTGTGTCCGAAATTCTGTCAACGAATTATTACTAAATTCTGCCATTTCGTCCTTTTTCAACATCTTCTATTTCCTCATTCTATTCACATTCTTTTTTTTCCTTTTCTTCTTTCTTTTCTATTATTTCTTTTTTCTCTTTTTTTTCTTTTTCTCTTTTTTTTCTTTTTCTCTTTTTTTCTTTTTCTCTTTTTTTTCTTTTTCTCTTTTTTTTCTTTTTCTCTTTTTTTTCTTTTTCTTTTTTTTTTTTTTTTTTTTTTCTTTTTTTTCTTTTTTTTTTTTTCTTTTTTTTTTTTTTTTTTTTTTTTTTTCTCTTTTTTCTTTTCTCTTTTTTTTTTTTCTTTTTTTTTTCTCTTTTTTTTTTTTTCTTTTTTTTTTTTTCTTTTTCTTTTTCTCTTTTTTCTCTTTTCTTTTTTCTTTTTTCTCTCTTTTCTTTTCTCTTTTTTCTCTTTTTTCTCTTTTTTTCTTTCTCTGCCTTTTCCTTTCCCCTTTTTTCCATCATCATCTTCTTCGCATTGTTATCATTATCATCCTCATTCATTTCTACCCCATCATTCTTTATTCCTTGCCTTCTCCTCTGTCCTGTTCAGACTCACCATCTCTTATCATAGGACCACATTCATGGAATATCCAGTTAGAATTGAGCTTGCTACCCTTCGGGCCTCACGGTGTGCGCACTGCATTCTATCTGCACGTATCGATTAAAATTAACAAGCAAACGCGTGAGATGCCGATGGTTATTTTATGTGATCTCCGACAGAGACCCACGTTGAAAGATTTTTTAGTACTGAAGCCGTCGACTACAGCTGAGATCGTAAAAATTAAATATCATAAATAAACAATGCAGTCTTCTCATTTTCTATTTATTTATTTATTTATTTCCTCTTCTTGTATGTTTTCTTTTTTACCTGTTGAACCTAATTATCAAAACGGTTCCAATATACAAGATGGAAAAAAGACGAACGAAATGGTTTGTTTTTGTTTAGTTTTTTTTTTCTTTTTAATTTGTGAACTGCTGCTTTGGAAAGAAAATAACGGTGCTGAGGAAATTGGTTAGCCTGCAATTTACCACAGACTATGGCGCGAAAATTATACAATCTGTCGGTGTCTAATTTTATCATAATCAATCTCTCCAGGCTACTTAAGCTCCTAAATGAATATAAAGTAATGTCCTTTTGAATAAGAAACCTGGGCACCGTAATGTACGCGTGTATAAGTCGGTCCTTTTTATTGTTTTTTTTTCTTTTTTTTTCTTTTATTTTTCTTTTCTTTTTCTTCTTTTCTTTTTACTTTAACCATTTCGTGACGGCATATTTTTGCGTAATAACAGCAAGATCTCTCTTCAGCTGCTCCAGGACACACATTGTTTTCTCTTCTATTGTTCATCAAAGATATTAACATTCTACGAACAACATGATTTTCTATAAAAGAAAAAGACAAACTGGATACAAGAAGTGCTTATTATAGCAATGACAAAAGACAGCCGATATATACTTTCAGGAAAAGTATCTGTCGGCTCAAAGGTAAAATGTTCAGTCAAGGCGAAATTGAAGGATCCTTTACTGAAGTTCCAAGTTTAAGTTTGTCTTTTGTCCATGTAAAAGGAGAGGTAGCAGAGATGACTTACTGTTTGCTGAAATTGACCTAGGTTGGTCTCCTTGTCATCAACGCTGTAGTCGAGTAGTGATTGCTGTCGAAATGGGGATTTTTGAGCCTGGGTTTTGTTTATATGTAGTTTTTTTTTCCGTATCTTGAAAAGGGGCGCTTGAAATTCTGGAAGATAGACGAATTTTCCTTGGTCAATAACGTCATGTAACTTATTTTATTCCGCATCTAAGATTAGCAGCAGCAGTTTAAAAAGGAAACCAGGCGATAAATTTAAATAGTTTTGAATGAAATGCCTACAGGATTTAGGTTTATAAGTTGTGAATATTCAATTCGAGGATGAGGACTAAAATAATAAAGTTGATTTTCTATTTTAATCTTACTTACTTTTTCTTTTTTCTACTTTTGTCCACTTTTTTTCTTCTTTTCTTCTTTCGTCCTCTTTTTTCTTCTTTCGTCCTCTTTTGTCCTTTTTTTCTTTTGTCCTTTTTTCTTTTGTCCTTTTTTCTTTTGTCCTTTTTTTCTTTTGTCCTTTTTTTCTTTTGTCCTTTTTTTCTTTTGTCCTTTTTTCTTTTGTCCTTTTTTCTTTTGTCCTTTTTTCTTTTGTCCTTTTTTCTTTTGTCCTTTTTTCTTTTGTCCTTTTTTCTTTTGTCCTTTTTTCTTTTGTCCTTTTTTCTTTTGTCCTTTTTTTTTTTTGTCCTTTTTCTTTTTGTCCTTTTTTTTTTGTCTTTTTTTCTTTTTCCTTTTTTCCTTTTTTCTTCTTTTTTTTTTCTTTTGTCCTTCTTTTTTTTTCGTCTTTTGTCCTTCTTTTTTTTTCGTCTTTTGTCCTTCTTTTTTTTTCGTCTTTTGTCCTTTTTTTTTTTTTCGTCTTTTGTCCTTTTTTTTTTTTTTTTTTCGTCTTTTTTTTTTTTTTTTTTTTCTTTTTTTTTTTTTTTTTTTTTTCTTTTTTTTTTTTTTTTTTTTTTCGTCTTTTTCCTTTTTTTTTTTTTCGTCTTTTTTCTTTTTTTTTTTTTTTTCGTCTTTTTTTCTTTTTTTTTTTTTTTTTTTTTTCTTTTTTTTTTTTTTTTTTTTCGTCTTTTTTCCTTATTTTTTCGTCTTTTATCTCTTATTCTTTTGCCCTGTTTTTCTCCTTTTGTTTTTATTCTCCTTTTTATTCTTCTTTTGTCATTTTTTTTCTTGCTGTTGTACTATATTCTTTTCTTATCTTTTTTTTTTCATACTTTTACTTGTCTTTTTTCGTTCTTCTAAGCCCATATTACAACCTGTATATTTCGGTTACCCTGAGGCGCCGAATCTGGAAAGCTAAAATGCTTTGGTTTGAATCCCTGTCACGAATGACAATAGGTTTAATAGTTTTTTTTTGGGGGGGGTTCCTATTACGTTTATAATGTTCACAAATGGTTAATAAACCATTTCCAGTGCGTGCGAAATGTAAAGCTATTTAGTCACAGAACAAATAGAAAATATTTTAACCTTTTTCTTTCTTTCTTCTTTTTTTTTTTTTAGTTTTTGTTTTTGTGGCTTATGCTAAAATATCATTATTTTCTGAACTGTCTTCGTGCAACAATTTTGCTGGAATTAACATTACCGAAAAAAAAACGAACATTGACAGTATATTTTTAAATCAATTGATATATAAAAAATTGACGTCATTTTCTTTTCTTTGACTAACAGGCTTCTTCCGCTCGCTCTTGCTTCGCAAAATAAGATATATTCATTACTTGAAATCTTTGAAACGAAAATGTTAAATTAATTCATAAATTGGTTTGTTATAGTTAAGGAACGTTTTACAAATAGATGCCAACTTGTTGAAGGCTAAGCACTATATAAGACAATATTCCTAAACAGAACTATTTTTGATATGAAAATCAAAACAATCCTCGAATAAAAGAACAATAATGAAGGACAGTTAATTAATGAAAATCAATATGCAGGTTAAACCTGAAGAGTATTTTGTAAACCGTTTATTTATCTCTCAGTTGCGTCTCTGTTTTCGGGCAGTGTGTACTCAGGGGCTGCTCTGTCGGAGGACAGTCGCAACCGAGGAAAATTATACTGAGAGGTAGCGGCTCTGGGGAACAGCTACCCGAGGCCACGCCCTCGCATTGCACTAGAGAGAAAGATCGGTGCTCGCCCCGACGGTTGCGGGGGCTCGGAGAATTTTTGTTCCTAGCCTGGGTGTACGCGCTCGGGCTCCCCACATTGTCACATATTAAGTCAAGTAAATACCAAATTATTATAAAGTATATTATCCTCAGAATTCGTGGGAGAATTGAGCTCCTATTTCGCATTTATTCATATAGATTTCATAATACAGACTTTAGTTAATTAGCTATGTTTCTTCAAATGTTGAATATATAACTTATTTCTATTTTCCCATATTTACACTGTATTAATTTCATCTTATAAATTGTCCCGTCTTCTGTCACCCATGAAATAAAAATAATTGTTTGTACGGAAAATAAGGACCTACGTACATCAAATCGTCTTTAAATTAAATGACAGCAGAATAATTATCGTTGAACTTTTAAAAGGTAAGCTTAAATATTGATTCAATACTTGAATGCAGCGATCAATTTTGAGTTATTCCGTAGTTTATTGCTGCCTATCTCATCTATTCCTCCCTAGCTAGCTTAAATTTCTTCCCACAAACCACTGCTTTGTGGGTCCGACTCCTAAGAATGAATGATAGATTCGTTTTTTTACATTGCAGGTTACTTAAATCCAGAAAATATTTTTAGATTGCAAGAAATTTTTTTTTTTTTTGTGATATGCTTAGTAATACAAATATTACTAATTAACCTATAGATAGGGGAGAAGAGGTAGATTAATATCATTTCCAAGTGTATTTGCGCGTAAGTTAATATAAGGAAACCCAAGAGGAAGTGGAATTAGAATTCGGCTCTCCAATTAACAATTCAGTCATTATCCATTACACCACCCGCACATCCAAGCTTACAATATGTGTTTTTCCCCAGGTGGTCACCCATCTAGGTACTGACCAGACTCAATTTTGCTTAACTTCAGTGATCTTATGGGAACAGGTATTTCAATGTGATGTGACAGTAAGCCTGACTCCCCAAAGGATGCTTCCTCGATGACTAGAATCATAACCTGTTTAAGTTAACCAGTATTTTTTACCACATATACCTATAAAGTGTATCTCTCACTCTGTAACCTACCTTGAGTGCCTCTTTGGCTTGTACGGGATGAACATTATTTTAATTTTCAAAAGTGAATCGTTATTTCTTCCCATCCTCATTGCGGGTGAGTTTCCAGCTAAAACTACTTTGCCGTGTATTGATTGGTTCCTGGTTTTTATAAGTAAAAAAATAAATAAATAAATAAAATTTCCGGAAATGCTTTATATAAGCTTATGCAATATACGATATCTGATCAAAATTATCGCGACTGTTGTTATGGTAACGGAGCTAAAGTATGCAGATTGACCTTGAACTCTGTTGCGCATGCACACTAAAATTAATACGTTCTAGCTCACTTCCGTTGTTTATAACAGTGCTTGGAAAGAAAGTGTGTAGAGTGTGGTCATCTCGCCAAACCACTGAGGTTCCATCACTGGCCATGACTTGTGTCCAAGCACAACTTTTTCCAGGTCCGGCAACCGCCATATTCTCCAGGTCCGGCAACCACCATATTCACCGGTTCCGGCAACCACCATATTCTTCATATCTTCATACTTTCGATTTTTCCTCTTTCCAAAAATCTAATTCTACTTGAAAGGAACAAGACTTCAAGACGTCAAGGAAATTCTAGCGAATCCAACGGATCAACTCTTTGTGCTGCCAAAAGATGAATGATTCCATCAATGGAACCACGCTGGATAAAGTGTCTGGCTTCAGAAAGGGACTACTTCCAAAGAGATTATATGCCGAATATCTGTTGTAGTTTTCTTTTTATAACACTAGTCTCGATAGTTTTTTGATCAGACCACTTATATGGCGCGCACTAATACGATAATGTGGCAGACAAATTCATGTAGCGTTGGGGCTGGATTTAATGTGTGGTTAATTTGGGTTGTCCAAAGTATGCCCGAAAAGTAGCGTACAGCTATTTACTTATTCAGTATATTAATTATACAAATAAAACATCGTGTGTATATTATTAGCAGTAAATTGATTTTTTCCCATAGAGATGAATATATTTAACCCGTATTTGCATGAGCGGAGGAATACATATTCTCGAAAAACATGGCGGCGTCAAAAGATTTGAGCCACTCTTGCGCCTCTGCAATAACAACGTGTAGAATCGTTTGTTATTGTGTGTCTGCGTGTATAATATGTATATATAAGTAGAGTAGATAAGTTGGTCAATTAAAACAAAGTCGAAAAAAAGAGTACCGATGTAATCAGTACGAGAAACATTTATTGATGTTAACCATGTGACAAAAAAATGAAGCACGGAGATTTAGGTTCCAAGTTCGAATGGCGTGCATCGGTCTCATGTAGCGCCGCGACCCGTAACGATCGACGCGGGTGCCCACGCGCGTGATGTCACGCAGGCGACGGCGACGCGCCAACCGATCGCGGCCTGTGTCACATGTATTAGCTCTAGAATTGTTAGTTATCCATCGCCTCCCCCCCCACACACACACATAATTCCCAGAGAGTACTGTTTCGCTGTATCACAGCTCCTTAAGGCGACTAGACACCCGAATACTTCAAGCCCGGATCGAAACCCAAACGATCAATCAGAGTTTCTACCACTGAACTATCTTGATTCGACAGAGAGAAACAACTAAATCTAGGGTATTGTTTTTACGAATGAAAAGACATGCCAATCAGCCGGAGTGCTCCAATTCATTTTACTGAAGAGCTTTGCATTAACGCAGGTGGGTGTAGTTTATAGAATTAGCTTATCACTCAACAGTGCTCAAGTGAAATATATTTTCAAGAGCACTAAAAATATGATATATAGTATAAAACTAAAAACATATCTGTAAAAGAACAATATAAATAATGAAAACAAATAGAAAACTTGATTAGAAATGCCAGATTCTATAAGCTTGGATGTAGCCACATCAGTTTGAAACATCCGTTTCCGTAGGATCACCGAAATTAAGCAATGTCGAGCTTGCTCAGTACTTAGACGGGTTACAAGCAGCTGTAAGCTTCGATGGGGCGGTGGGCGTGATGTAATAGATAACGGCTTGGAATTGTTAATCGGAGAGCCAAATTCCAATTCTAGTCGAGTCCGTTATAGTTACCTACCTCTTCTCCCCAACCATGGATTAAATAGTAGTTGTTTCAGTAAATTATCATCTCTCCCAAAATTCTTCCAATCTAAAAATATTTTCTGTGATTAAATAACTTGTAAAAGGTTTAGCTGTAAAAATCCAATCAATCAATAGGAAGTTTACCTTTTGTCTTTATTATTCACTATATATATATATATATATATAAAATATATATATATATATTAGTCATTGACAGACAGCTCATCAGTGTGGCTATACATCCGATTGTCTCAAGCAAGGATCATGATTTGATGTCAGTCGGAGACTCTACCCCTAAGCCATTGGCGAATGAGCTGGATGAAGGTGAATTTAGACGTATTATTTTTTAGACAAACACGCTAGTGACTGGGAGAACTCGATTCGCCTAAACGAAGAATCTTGTGTCCGCAGCAGTAATAGTCACTGTTTATAAATTCACTTTATAATTTCTAAAGAACTAATTAATTCTTTAGAAATTATATAATTTTGAAAGAATTAGTTTTTGATCCGATATATATTTTTTTAATTCAAACGTTATTTTTAGTAGATACCCGTGTTTCAGTAAACGCCTCGTTTTTTTCGTTTTTTGTTTTTTCGTTTTTTGTTTTTTTTTTTTTTTTTTTTTTTTTTCTTTTTTTGTTTTTTTTCGTTTTGTTTTTTTTTCGTTTGTTTTTTTTTTTTTTTCGTTTTTTTTTGTTTTGTTTTTTTTTTTTGTTTTGTTTTTTTGTTTTCTTTTTTTGTTTTTGTTGGTTTTTTGTTTTTTTGTTTTGTTTTTTTTTTTTTTTTTTTGTTTTTTTTTTTTTTTCTTTTTTTGTTTTTGTTGGTTTTTTGGTTTTTTGTTTTTTTTTTTTGTTGTTTTGTTTTGTTTTGTTGTTTTTTGGTTTTTGGGGGGGGGGTTGTTTAAAGAGTTAACTTTTAACGTCTACTGATTTATGCACTCGAGAAAACTTACTAAAGAAAATGTTGCCATCTGGAGTGCTCTGATTGTTCGGCTACGGAGAGGTTCATTGTCAAGTAAAGTTCCATTTCCCTCTATGCACATTCAATAATTATGATTTTCACAGTAGGCGAAATAAGCACTGTTAAAAAAATGGACGTCTACTCAAATACGGACATCTACTAAAGAATAACATTTGAAGTAATATTTAAAGTTTACGCAATCCAAGGCCCAGATACCCACTCAAGGTAAAAGGTTGCAGAGTGATAAATGTGAGGTGACGATTATGAATATATGAACGACTGAATTTTTTGATTGATCCGTTTTTTACGGTTTATCAACACTTTACAAGTTAGTTACACACAAAATATTTTTAGAGATAATAATGATTTAGTTATAGACTCTTACTAATTAACCCATAGCTGGGGGAGAAGAGGTGGATTCATACCTTTCACAAGGGTATTTGCGCGTAAGTGAAAAATAACGAACCCAACGCGAACTGTAACTCTGCTCTCGGATTAATAATTCTGAGCCATACCTATTACACCAACCACACATCCACATATTCCCAAGTGGTCACACATCTAGGTACTGACCGGGGTCGGTGATCGTACAGGAACCGGTGATTCAACGTGATATGGCCTAGATAATGATTGACCTTAGACTTGAAGTGATCAAGATTGTTGTGGAAGTAAGGACGATGGAGTCTGTTCCAGAAAGTAACAGTTCTTAGAAACCTGGTACAATACGAATAAATAGAAAGGGATTGTGATTAAATCCTGTGGACGTTAAAAGGTGTTTCTTGCCTGTAAAAGTCTGAACAGTTGGAACTAAACCAGAGGTCGCCAAAGGGGGTCCGTACAACCGCTTATGGATCGGTGAAGAGTTCCGGGGGATCAATGAGGGAGGGTGTGCGAATGACACTGGCCTAAATTTTACTTAGTGTACATGTATGTTGTATTCTTTAATGCAGATGAAAGAAAGTTCGACTGTCAACGGAATCAAAAGCCTTAGTTACATAGACCCAAGTAGCTTTTAACTTATTTTGATGAGAATTATTTAATGCTACATTGAGCAATGATTTTTTTTTTTTTGGTGGGGTGGCGTCTGAACCTTATGATGCAGGGGGGGATTTTGAACCTAATCCAAATTTCTTAACTTTTCATTTTATTTTAGTTAACATTTTATTTGCCACATCAGTGCGATTTTTAAGGTTCAAAGATATTTTAAATGGCGGGCGCTGAAGAAGGAAGATAAACTTAAGGGGGTCTGGTCGAAAAAGTTTGACAACCTCTGAACATAGACAATGGAGTCCGTCAGAGTAGCAACGTTTCATCTGTAGGTAAAGGGTTGCAGGGGCAGATCCATCATCCACATGGCCGCGTAAATGCTTTTGAAGTTTGTCACGTGTTGAAAGTGAGGATTGAGTAGCTCAATCCCAAATATGGAAGCAATACTCCATTTTTGCTTTTGATTTGTCTCCTGTCTTGGCAAGAGTCGGGTATTTTCTGGAGTAGTGCGTGAAACCGACCATATTTCCAACATCTTTAACAATGGATCGTATCCAGGATGGGTCAAAAGTCGCGTACCATAGGGATAAAGTATTAAAAGTATAATCAAATATACTAATTTTATTTATTAGTCATTTAATTGTCATATGTTCTGTTCAAAATGTCCCCCCTTCTTTTTCTTTATTTCATATTTAATTCTTTCTTTAAGTTCCTCAGTATTTTTTGACCGTATCTGATAACTGATTTCAAGTGACCCCCACAGAAAAAAATTCAAGAGTGTGAGGTCTGGTGACATCGATGACCACTCAACATGACCTCTTCGACCTATTCAGTTGTTAGGTAAATGTTCAGTTAGATAAGGTAAGGATAATAA